CTCATTCCAGAGTGCATGAACGTGATATTGTGTCCTGTCCGTATGTCTTCCGGGCTACTGACCTCTTTGACAGCACCTTGGGCTATCCTGGAGAGGGGCCTCGCTGGTCTATCCTCTCTGCCAATGTGGACTCCTTCGCCACAAACTATAATTGTCTGCAGTGGAACGCAGATGTCTTCTTGCTACAAGAGGCTCGGATTGCTGACTCGAATCTGGCTGAAGCTCAACGTAAAGCAGGGTTGTGCAACCTCCATCTGTTCTGCTCACAGACTCTACAGAAGCAACGTGCCAGCAACGGCACTTTCCGTGTCCCTTCTGGCGGCACTGCTACGTGTGGCAACAAAGAGCTAACACAACTCTTTGAAGAGAAAACAGACCTATCAGGCTACTGGAACCAGCTCCGTGCATCAGCAAGAGTTACAGCCACATGGCACCAAGTTTCTCCCAGTGTCAAAATCTTGGTCTTCAACTTTTATGGTATTGCCAATGCTGCATCAGAACGAGCCAAATTCTGTCGTAACAATGAACTGCTGAACTCGATATTTACAGTGGCAGCCCAATTCGGTGACATACCAATCCTCCTGGGAGGTGACTTCCAGATGGAACCAGGGATGTACCCTGCCGTGCAGGTGGCCTTAGATCACTGTGGTTGGGCCGACCCACTTCTACGTACCGACGAACAGGGTGACGTGGTCCGGCCAAATACTTTCTTTCAGCACTCTGCTGCTGTAGATGGTGAAGGTGAGTCGTCTATTGATGGTATTCTGATGAATCGCACTGCACTGACCGCCCTTATAAATATCCAGGTCCTGGACCATCGTGACCGTCAGCACCGGCCTGTCCATGCAACATTTGCTTGGGACCGAGTTCTACAAGTTGGCTCTATTATGCAGATGCCGGCCAAAATGAACCTTGAGCGTGTTCAGCATCACAACCCAGACGACCCGGGCTGCTCGGTCAATGGCCTCGGTGAACAGTTGTGGCGTGGCTATACGAGTGACTTCACTGCTGCTGACACTGCTGATGCCAAGTGGGATGTCTTTAATCAGTTTGCCATTCAACTTCTTCTGCTCAACGGTGCACGGTGGGGTGCTGGGCCCTGTGTGAGGGGCAAACCACCAAAATTTCAACGTGTCCGGGCCTGTGCGCCCCAGGAAGCCTCAGGCAATCTTGCCTCTCCACGTCTGCATCTGCTTCGGGCGTCTTTACGGTCCCTTCGTGAACTGGAGTACCGCTTTACGCGCGCTGTTACTGGTACTGGAGATGATCGAACTTTTCGGAATACTCAGCATCGCTTGCTTCGTCGACTGAAAGTTGCCAAACTTCTTCCCTTCCATGTATGGCAAGTCTTTGCACATGACATTCCGCACCTGGTTGAGATTACACTGGCGGCCATTGCGGCCGAAATCAAGCAATTGAAGTTTGTAGCAATTGCCAAGTGGCGGGTTGCTATGAAGTCAGCAACCACGTCGCTCTCCATTGGCAAGATTGTGTACCAATATCTTAAACGCAAAGGCAGAGTGGTTCCACCTAATCTCGTTGAAGATGATCTTGGCAATATCATTTATGACCCTCAGGAGGCCATGGACACCATTGCCAACAAATGGGATACCGTCTTTGCCGTGAATACTCACCATGACCACGAGATGCAACTGCTTAAACAAGTTTGGCCCTACATCCATGACAAGGGCAAGGCTATCCAGCTACCGCCAATCACGGAGGGTCAGCTTTGGAGGCAGGCAGCCAAGCGGCGGCCTGATGCGGCTGCAGGCCTTGATGGTTGGCAAACACGAGAGGTTCAGGCTCTTCCCCCGGTAGCCTTTCGACCAGTTGCTGCACTCTTCAACAGTATTGAAGCTGGCTCTGATGAGTTCCCTACCATCCTTACGCAAGTTCGGATGGTCATCCACAATAAGGATGGGAGTGATGCACCTTTGGCCAAGCGGCTCATTTCCCTTCAGTCGGTTTTCATGCTGCTATATACCGGTCTTCGCTTTTCACAACTCCAGCAATGGCAGCAGGATGTGATGCCATCGCAGCTGAAAGGAGGGGTCAAAGGCAGACAGATGTCCGAGGTCCACATGACCATGCAGATGGAAATTGATAAGGCGCACAGTTTTCAGGGCTCCTTCGCTGGACTCAAGCTCGACAAAGCCAAGTGCTTCGATCGATTGATGCCACGCCTGCGCGCTGCAATCTTCCTTGCGCTGGGCCTCCCCCAAGGTTTCGTCTGTGGATTCCTGGGCCTCTATTCCCGCGTGACAAGATTTCTTTCTTTCAAACAATGGACCAGAGGCCGGCCGATCTCAACACCGAATGGGGTTGTGCAAGGATGTTCGCTTAGCCTTCTGTGTATCAATGTTCATATGGCCATTTGGGCCTGGATCATTGGCAACATTGATGGCATTGACTTTCGAGCGTTCATTGATGATACCTACATATGGACCCGACTGCCCTCCATCGACAACCTGGTTGCTGCAGTACGGGCTACGGAGCTGTGGGATTCCATTTGTGGACAGTTTCTCAATGCCAGCAAATGTGAGATTTTTGCTACAACTGGTCCTCTTCGCGAAGCCCTCAGACGGGCCTTTCCGAGTATGCGGCTGATTGAAGTAGTGAACATCCTTGGAGCCCACGTACAAACTACGCTGAAGAATGCCGGCAGTTTTCCACCTGGGAAGTTGCAATCAGCTTTGCGCGACTGCGAGGCAATCAGGGCTCTTCCCTGCAACAGTGCCGCCAGGGCGCAGATCCTTACAACCAAAGTCCTTCCTCAGATTGCATTTGCACCGCAGTTAAACTTCCTTCCAAAGAGGCACCTTGCCAGGCTTCAGTGCGCCATCGCTGATGCGCTATGGCAGGAGAGACCTATGTGGCGCTCCAAGCATTTACTGTTGCGCCTTGTACATAAGGCTCACAAGCTCGACCCCTTCCTTTTTCGTGCGGTTGCTACGATTATTGAGTCGGCCAGATTCCTGCGGGCCACCGCAGGTGCAAGGCAAGATTGGGAAGCCCTTTATGAGCAGGATCAACTTGCACCACAATCCTGGATGGGCCAATTTGGGCAGGCTTGCCAGATCTTGGATATTTCCTGGTGCTGCGCTTTCGGCTTCTCTATTTTGGATGCACCAGCTGTTGATTTCCTGGAGTTTTCGTTGTCTGACCTCAAGTGTATTCTCAAGAACCTTGCAGCCGACAAGTGTTATCGCACTGCTTGCCTGATGCCACGGAAGGATATTAGGACGGCCGATGGTTTCCTTGATCTTTCGCTCACCCTGTCGGCCAAAAAGAAGCTTGCTAAGATTCCCAATGATGGCTTTTCCTTTATCTTTCACTGGGAGAGTGCTATCACTGGATGCACCCTCACTGCGGATAGGCTTGCAGCCTCGGGCCTCGTTGATGACCCTCGATGTCGGTTCTGCGGTGCCCCAAAGGAATCCTTACAGCATTTTGTCGATGAGTGCAGGCAACTCCCGGCTGATTTGGCACAGCCATCTACGGGTCATTACTTTGGGCCAAACTTTGCCATGTTGGGGATTGTTGAACTTCCATCAATGTGGTCAAGGACAAGCTTCAAGTTTCCATGCCCTCCTCTTTGGCTGTTGCCCCTTGGGCTGATTGGGTTACCGAGACCCGACATGTATGGACTGACGGATCTGTTCAGCTCACTCATCACCCTTGGCTCTCCTTGGCAGCCTATGCGGTTATTGCAGAAAATGAGGACCTCTTGGCAGTGGGACCAGTCCACCACTGGCGTCTGTCCAGTTATAGTGCTGAGCTCTGGGCTATCCTCACTGCCTTTGCCCTGGCTGAAACGCCACTGGTTATTCACACCGACTCCCTGACGATCGTAAACCAGTTCAATGACCTTCTACGGCTTGGGCATGTTCAGATCGAGTGGACACACGCCAATTGGTGGACCTTTCTGCACACGCTGATCCACCAACGTGCTGGGTCTTGTGACACGCCCCTCCAACTGGTCTGGTGTCCTGCGCACCTTTTAGAACACCTTCCTGCCGGTATTATAACGGAGGCTGATGCAACAGCTGCGGGTTCTACCAAGCGAGATATCCTGTTGAACAGGCTTGCAGATGAACATGCGAAGCAGCACATATGGCAACTTGCAGCACAAGCAAAGCACGCCCTTCAGATCAAAGAAGCTGATGTTTATGCCCGGCAATTGTGGTTGTCACAACTCAACCGGCGCTGCAAAAAGGAAGAGAGTGGTGTTCGTGCCGTTGCCCCAATAGTGCAACCTCGAACTGTGCCTCTTGACCCACGTCAACTGTGCCCTAGGTGGGCATGGGATGCACCCCAAGGCCTTTACACATGGCGAATTCAGCTGGATGTAGAGATGCAGTTCCGAGCCACGCCCAAGTTGTCATGCTTGAATTTCAAGGTGTTTTTAGGTTTTTGCAATTCCCTGCATTGGAGGCAAGGGGAAGGACTTGCCTGCTCCGTGTTTGAGCTAGCAGCGCAGGCGTTTCTGCGTGGGTGGAGATTTGAGCTTAATGCTGGAGTACTGTCCACTGTGCAGGCCTATGCGGCAATCATTCGAGCTGCATTCTCCCATTGCAAGACCAAGCAGATTGTTGTGGCCCCACTTCATCTCGATAAGGGCAACAAGTGCAATGGGAAAACATTCCCAAAAGGAGCCTTTCATGGTGCTGAAGCCCATCTTGATAACTCAACCCTAGAGCTTCTTGCTCGTGCATTCGATCGTGGAGCTGCTGCCACTCCTCACTCTTGGTCGATTCCGTTCGACCTCCTTCTGTAGATGGTGTACATAGGACAACGTTGACCTCTGTCGCAGAAGCACAGGTGGTCGCCAACCTACTCCGAGTATGGTGTGCGAGCAAAAAAAAAGGAAGCTCCCTCCACCGCCTTTAGGGAGCTTCCTTGCAGAAGCGCTCGCACTAATTATTTGGTTCCTAGGTCTTGAGGGAAACTTAAGGTAGAAAGATTTACACTAGCTCATTTACTCACGCTGTCGCGCCGGCCTGTGCCAAGTGCACCTCTGCCTCGCGTCGTTTGATCGACGCACGCAAGCAGCTGATCTCGCATTGCGCATCCTGTTCAACGGAACTGCCATTGGAACTAGAGGCGAGGCATTTAAATTACTACATATATGTGTGTGTGTGTGTGTTAAATGTGTATATATATAAGAATAATAGTATCTATATATATATAATCGCAATAATAAACACACAAACGGTATCAAAAGCTAACAAAAAATATAAGAAAAGGCGAGCAATACAGGCACTTATGAAAATGGTCAGAGTTGAAGTTTTTGTCTCTGCTTCTAAGGTGAAATAAAGTGAAACACAGTTTTTACTCGCTTACGCCAATATTTGATGCTTTCTTATAGTGTATAACTATATAACTTGATACATTTTGGTTAGGCTCACTACAATTTGTTTGCGAATTTCAACAAAGCTACTCGGTCACGACGCCTGCATGCTCAGGGTACTGGCCGCCTGCAGAAATGAAGGCAGAGACCACTACGACGCAAAAGGACAACTCAAAACGACCAACAGAAACGGACCATGTTTTATTCATTCTCAGCTGGCTATATCTTGCAAACGGGTTTGCAATGCAGCCGCCGGAATGTCTGACTCCTGCCTGAGAGCAAGCTGGAAACCTACACTCAGGCAGGTTGCATCAACTTTAAGTGGCAAGTACATATCCCTTGTAGGATGGAGGGCTTGGTAGGACAGTAGAATACAAACCTTTCAATTCAAAAAGAGTCGCGACCTGCTCGATTGCAAGCAGAATATTGCCTCTGATTGGGCTGTGCATTTACAGCTGTCTCAACACGCTCCGTCCAAGTGCCCGCACGATCGGAGACGGCGAATCTCCCCATTCTGATGGCGCAGTTGTTCTGCCTGCCTGAAAAGCACTCCAGCTCCCTTTGGTTTCCGTACAGAAGAAGGATAAGAAACAAAGGAAATAAGAAAAAGGACCCTTACCTGAATATGGTCCTCTCTTTCTAGGAGTTAGCCACATGAAGAGAGCTTGTGGTACAGTATTTTGCGCTGCAGCTCGGCCTTCGACAAAATTGCCAAACAAGCGGGTTTTGAAGGGAGCCGGGGATTTCATGACTACGAGACCCACTTCAGCCATACAGCAACCAACTCACATGATGCAGGAAAACCCACACAAGGCAAACAGCACCACTAGCAACACTCGGACCCCACCAACCGGCTGGCAAAATTGAAGTGACCTTTGGCCAACATGATAAAGCCCACGTTGGGGAAGGTTTGATTGGACCAAGTCCTGGAGCCAAGGGCGTTGCCACAGTGCAACTTCCAACATGGCATGCTGACTCCGCCTTCCCAGCATTGCCCGACATTGGCGCAGTTCAGCCTCTGTGAGAAGTGTTCCACTTCAACATATTTCAACTGTACTTGTGCTTGTATCGTCAAATCCAAAGAAAGAGTTCTGAACCAGCCAAGTCCTTACAATTCCTGTTTACCTACTCTACTCTCCCCAAGCAACACAGCAACCATCCGTTTGGAGGAGAGGCTGTGACTGGCCTTGTTTGGCGTCTCACTTTTCGGACTGGAGGCTCCGCAGGGACCGCAGGGCTGGCCTGCCAAGGCTTTCTCACGCAACTTTCTAAAGGTCTGCAATCTAGTGGAATCTCTGGATAGCACAACAGCACTTCAGTACTTCAATCACGAAGATCATATCCCGTCCTAAGCTGCGCAAGAGCTCTTCTGCTTCAGCTGGTAGTGCCTGTGCTCTCCAGAACAATGCTGCTTCAGGCAGGTGGACAATCTGTCATTTTCGAAAGAAAACGTGAGCAAAGGTTGGCATGACACCGACCCCCGATGTCCTGAACATTGATAGACTGTAGACTGCAGTAATGGCTTTTAGTGCATGAAATCATCCCTCGAAAGTAGCTGAGGCTGAAGCTTCTTGTGGGCACTGCCTCCAGAGATTTGGTCACTTGGCCACAGCTTTGCAAAATTCAACTGTAAATCCTCCGCTCCATCTTCACCTTGACGGGATCTTTGCCACGTCATTGGCACCAAAGGGCCTCGGGCAAGGTTTGAATTTTCATGATCGAAGGTGGTTTTGATTGAGGCTGGAAGCATGCTCAAATCAAATCCCAAATTGTGCCGACATCATGTCACCCTGACGACCTGACTCTCCGCTCCGCTTCTCAAGTCACTTCCCCAAGTCTCATGCCGTGGATCCAGAGCCTACAGAGATGCACAAATAAAAGGCTCGAAAACGTCTGGACTGAAAAATGGACCATTTAGACCAAAGCAATTTGGCGCTGCTTGGCTCCCCAAATTCAAAACATCATGATGCGGCGATGCATTCTCGTCCTCAACTAGTCAATCTGAAGGCGAGCCTGTGTTGAAGGACTTCTTGAGCTTTTGTCCACCTGCAACCACTCATTTGAGGCAAAGGTGTGTCCAACACGCAAAGTAAAGTCAACATCTTCTAAAAAGTCCTTGACGCATGTCGGCAATGAGATGTTTTGGGGCACCATCATTTGCATCACCAATTCATGTGTAGCAATTACATTGCGTGCGTGTATCTACATTATACAGTGTATATATATATATATGTTCAGTATTTATACATATAATATATATATATATATCCCTCGCACAGCCGTTTTCCGCAAGAGACAAAGGTGCCCAGCCTTTCCTTAAGAAAGGGTGAGATGCAGCTGCATACGACAGAGTCGAAGGGCACGACCAACTCAAGCCAACCAACGTACACGCACAATGTTGCTCAATGCTCAATGATGCAATGTACAATGTTGTTCAACTTTCAACCATCAGAAGTGCCCTTGGGAGGTGGGCTGGGGAGTCTTTGAGCAGTCACTTGCTCTGGAGTTCAGGGATAGAATGCATCCCTCGAACAGCCGTTTTCCGCAAGAGACAAAGGTCCCCAGCCTTTCCTTAAGAAAGGGTGAGATGCAGCTGTATACGAAAAGTTGAAGGGCACGACCAACTCAAGCCAACCAACGTACACGCACAATGTTGCTCAATACTCAATGATGCAATGTACAATGTTGTTCAACTTTCAACCATCAGAAGTGCCCTTCCAACCTCAATTTTCTGCTTTGCAAAACTCCACAAATTCTGAAGCAAACAAATGCTGTAAAAGAAATCCTAAATGGTCACCCAAGAACTGAATCTGAGATCGTGCTTTGGGTGTGAGGTTGTGCATAAAAAGCTGAGCAGCTACTTCCTGAATGTAGTGTTCTAGCGTTTTGAGTTGAGACCAACGGCCTTTCCATTGGATCTGTGCACTGCTTCCACACTGAAGGTACTCGTACGTCGCGCCCGAGCCGCGAAGGACCCCGGGCGTAGCGCCCCGCTCGGACTGACGGCGGGGCACATCGAGACGATCGAGAAGACTGTTCCACTGACGTCGAAACACTGCGATCGATGCTGGATACAAACGTTGATCAAGACTCAAGTGTCCAAAATGCACCAACTCAAAAACTGAATGGACTTGTCGTCTACTCGCACATGTTGCCCTGGCGAACCGTGAAGTTTTGGGGTTCTTGACATAGATGTACAGGGCCTTGAACTCAAGGAAAGCATCAACCGGGAACACGAGGTCCTTCCGGGTTAGCAGAAGGAACTCGTTGGGGTGAAGCATCCCCCCAAAGCCAAGAGCAACAATGCCTGCAAAGGTGTACCCCCAAAGCAGCGACAACGCTAGGATGGCACGCAACATAGGGGCAGATAAAACTGCGCGACATGCCCCTGGCTCTTCGATCTGCCACTTCTTGTCAACCTGCCAAGCACCTGACAATGCAAACCTGAACTCAGGCCTAAGCTCTTGTACTGCTCTGATGGCATAGACAAGCCAGTATCTTGGAGCTCCTTGGCGGAACAAGTGCAGTCCGAGGGCCAAGTTCGCGGCTTCTGCCGTTTCAAGAACCTGAACCAATGACAACCGAGGGTATTGAACACACCACTTCTCAAATGCTGCCAAATACTTCTGCATTCTGAGAGCAGTCGCCTGCGCAAACCCGCCAAGTAAGTTCAATTCTCCACGAGGGGTGTATGACGACTTCGACTCAGGCCCTGGGTTCTCTTCAATGTCACCTGCAAGCAACAAAAGAAGTCGATACCAGCGTCCAACTGGCCTCGTCCAACGAGCCGACTCAACCATGCAATCAAACAACCGAGGACGGCCTCGCTCTAACTCTTCAAGCCAGCTTGGCTTGGGACGAGAAGGCGGGTGAGCCTCCCCATCTCGTGAGGGTCCGTCTGCCCTATTCCATGCCGACCGACAGTGAAGAGCTCCAGGATACAGTCCGCTTCCAAGCACATAGCTCAACGAACTGCGCAAGATACGACTCAAGGCAGGGCTGCTGCTGCAACCTTTTGCCGCGGCTCCCATCGTCACTCTGCTGTCGAGTATACCCACCAAGCGGCTGTCTGGATGGGATTTGCTGCAATGCTTAAGCCAGCTCTTGTAAACTCTGCACTCCAGCCAATTAATCTGCCCGGATCTTTTGAACCGATAGCGGAACAGTTCTGTGAAGTGCAAACTTTCACGCACGTCTTTGACCCACTCGGGATCGTCATGCCAAGCACGCAAACTCAGGTCACAATCATTCGACTGAAGCTCTGACCGAATGGTCCAACGCTCCCCTTTCTCAGCTGCTCTATGGGCATCCTTGCTCCCCACGGCCATAGCCTGGCAAAGAGGCAATGGAATTCCCGCAGAGAAACTACTCACGGCTTCGCCTACTTTGGGAGCCTTGCCGAACACGGCCATCGAGCTGGGCTGGCACCTTTGTTCAAACAAAACGATTGAAGCTCGGGTAAAAGTGCCCTCGACTTTGAAATGCTGACCTTTGTATTTGCACGAACACTTGCCCTCCAATTGTCTGTACCAGGGTTTATTGTGGATCCACTTTGAAGCCTTTTGAAAGGCTGAGCCATATGAACAAAAGCAAAACTTCGAGATCACACACCCCAATTCCCGTAGGGTTTGAAAAGCATCCAACAAAAACATTACCGAGTTTCCGGGCTGTTCGCAAGAAACGTAACACTTGCTCAAGACCGCCCCAAAGTCAACAAAAAAGCTGTCCTCTGCGCAAGGCTAGTTTGCTCCCGGGTCAAGGGGTCGGTCGGATTGAAGCCTGCTGGAAACTGTTTTGACCTCAATCGGGGTGGTCTCAAGGTTCCAAAGCTCCAGCAGGGTGGCGCTGCATGCCACTCACGAATGCTCCCTGCGTAAGCTAATTTTGCAAGAACCAGAAAAGTTTCCTGGTTAGATAGGTCCCCATAGCCCCGACCGGTCGCCTCTCGTTCGATTCCCTGGTGCACACGAAGGCCTGCCTTCTTGTGACTTGAACTCCAATTGCCGAAACCTGCAAACAATTCAATACAATCGAAAACAATGGTGTTGTCCTTCAAAGCTTTGCAAACTTTCCAGGGTAGTTCAAGACTGTTGGAAGGTTCGTCCGAAGGCTCGCCGAACTGTTCCTCATGTTCTAGCCCAAGCTCTCTCAAAACCATGCCGGGTCCCTGTTGAAGCTTGGTGTAAAACCCCCGCTGTTCCGAGCGCCTCCAAAATTCATCAGTAGCGCTCTGAGTGCTGATTGCACGGCAGATCCCGCCGCCGAAAGGAGATGCATCCATCATGTACACGGCTGAAGGTGTAGTTGTGCGCATGTTTGTTTGCAACGTTGGTGCAAGAAGGCAAAGACACAATAGCTCATTTTTGCTCTCCTTCGAAAGTTTGAATACTGTGTCTTCGTGCAAGGCGGCCCCCTCTGAGTACAGCTTGTCAACAATGGCAAAAGCAGGTCTCCTAAAAAGAAGAATGTGCGTCCAACATCCAAGTAATCCCTGAATCAACTTCTTTGTTGCATGACCTTTCTGGATGATGACTGCCGTCAGGAAACTTAGCAACACAATCCTGCTTCTTGGCGCCGACACTCTGCCTCGCAAGCCATCGACTTCCGCTCCTAGCACGACCGCTGAAGAAGCTTGCCTCTGTCGCTTACCAGGGTGAGCCGTCAAACCTACATCCATGTATGCTTTGCCTGCGCGTTCAAACACCTCCACGTCACGAGTAGGCTTTGGGGATTGCTCTTTGACCAAAGGAACTTTCTGTAAACCTATATGATCGTCTATAGTCAACAGTTCGTAGAAAGGACCCCTGGGAATAGCCGTGCGATATTGTAAACACTCTCCTTCCATCATACAACCTGCTTTGAACCTCAACAGATTCATGTGGCTCTGTTGGGCGATTTCAACAGCTAGGGCGTCGCCCATTGCAAGCGTTCCAAGACACACGTACACATATCCGGTGTGAAGGGATGGATTGAAGCACTGCAAATGACTGACCTCTGAATGATGAAACCTAATACCAATAGCGTTTCTGCCCGCCCGTTTTGCTGAGACACGAAATGTGTAGTAAAACTCACATAGGTCATCCGATGAAATCAGCAAACGTTCGCTTGGGGACAATGCAATCATGGTGATCAGGTAGCCGGGTGCGATAGTTTTTGTGAATCGAGAATACCCAAAGGACCTGGAGTTAACCACCGTGCGATTCAAGATCAATCTATCAAACTCTGCATCCTTGGCCACTGCAAACAGCCCGACTGCTTCGTCGTCCCGAATGGAATCACAAGGCACCAAGCGACTCGCCCCCAAAGAATCCCACTTCCCTGCTAAAACCAGCACTTCATCACGCTCTGCGTAAACTTCTGCTCGACCAAGCCGTGGCCAAGTATGTTCAGGCTTCCGCAAGAAATCAGGGTCTTTATAGGCCTTCTTGACAATTGGGTCTGTCAGATAGGGCTCTCGGTCAAAGCTCGGGGCCAGCTTCCATTTGATCCGTGATGCAATCACTGGTTTTGCTGAACACGCGTTGGCCGAGACCCTGATTCGTTCTGAGGGCTTGCCACTCCTTTGCAACTCAGCAGGCTCAGTGTCTTGCTCCGGGTCAGACTTGGTGCTACGGTACTTTGAATGCTTTTCACGAGAATAACTATCGAAAGCGACTCGGATGGATTCTAAAAAACTGGTGATGTCCTCAAAGTTCAAACAGGATGAAACAGTGGGGAGAGAAAAAATGCTTGCAGACAAATTTCTCAGCTTCTCACTGGCTCTGCCGAGACTATCAAGGGTGACCTCACCACACAAAAGATAATAGTCTACTAAGTCTTCAAGCCTCTCAAGCAGCTCATGTTGGCCTGGCGATAGAGGATGTCCAAGCCGAGCATGATCCGGAGGCGATCGACATTGACCCAGAGCTAGCCAGTTCAAAGTGACCACCAAGTGCTGCAAGCAGAGCGCTCGGACCTTGAAGAACCGCTGGCGCTTCCGGCGCCGAGGAGAAAGTGAGTGGGCAGCTGTCCAACATCCCCCGGATGGAGGGGGACAAGGCCACAAATCGCCCCGCCTTGGGGGCGAGGCCGGAACGGTGCGGAGCCTCTGGAGGCTCTGGAGGCTTCTGTTCATGAAATCGTCCAAACAAGTAGTCGAACTTGAGGCCTGTCCAAGCACAGCTTCCACCAGAGAGGTGCATTGAATTGGCAAAAAAGGAAAGGTAGCGCCAGGCTCTGTCTGCTTCAAACTACTGTCAAACAGCTCCCAACTGCCTCTCCGGTTTTCTTTCGGCTCCGAGGCTGACTTCTCTGACCTTCTCGCAGCTCCACTGAAAATGCCAGGTGACTGAGCCCAATCCCCTCCCCGACCGTGTGAGGCAGGAGGGATACACTCCCACTGCCCTGACGAAGAAGAACTCGGCAAGGGAGGGGACTGAACAAGCCCTGACGGAGCTGCTTGAGTGTTCCTTAGGTTTGGCTCGCTTCCGAGCCGGCTCCCCCGGCAGCTTTCTTCTTCTTTGGACGCCAAGGCTTCTTTGGGCCGTCCTCTGGTGCATCGCTGGGAGTTGTAGGCTTCGGACCTGTGTTGGCACTGCGAATCTTTGCTTCCAAAAATCTAGATCCTTCATCAAAGCCACGTTTGCGCCTATCCAGGATGGAGAGGCTAGCCGACTGAAAAGGCGTCAAGCTTGTCCGCTGCCGGTTCCTTTGAACCCCATGGTATTGCGGTTCCGACTCAGGCTTGTTCGACCATAATCGATGGCCGTTTGACCGGTGTAGACCAAACCGCGACAAGCCACTCCCATGAGCTCTGCATTGTTTAGCTTGTAGCCCATCTCCCAGGCCCAAGCCCAAAGATACGCATTCTGCACCAGGGCCCGGTTTTCGCCCAAAGGCGAACGTTTCTCGATGTAGTCCCGCATGAGCCTGGGTCCAATCTGATGAACTTCTAGGCCCAGCTCTGCCGCTGCGTTTGCTGTGACCACTTGGGCATATTTGGGCAGATCTTGCATCAGCTTCAAAAAAGCCTCCCTGGCCAAGCAGCCCTTGACACCGGAGCTGCCCGTGCTTTGCGAATCTGTGGACCCGCCCAAAGCAGCAGAAATGGGGTCCTGAGATCTGGCATTTTGCTGCTTTGCCATCATAGCCATTTGCTGCATCTGACGGAGCATCATCTTTTGCATAGGATCTGCAACAGTGGCCTCCAGCTCCTTCAGCCCGTTCTCGATCTCTGCATCTTCTACTGCCTCCAAACCCACCTCGGTTTGCAGCGAGTTGAGGTTTGTCGTTGGCCTCCCCTCCCGCAAGGTCCGCTCGTGAGCGGCGAGCCTCATAGGAGCTGCGCCCGCCGCCGCCCGGAGTCGAGCGATGACATCGTTGGCGGGAGTATCCATGGGAATGGGCTGACTGCCTCCAAACAAAACCCCACGAGCAGGTGAGCTTTTGGGCGCACCACGTAGAGCCGGACCGGCAGGAGAAGCGCCCGGCGTGCCAGGTGACTGCAACATGGTTTCCAGATCGTGGATCCTCTTGCGCAAGGCTGCTAGGTGTGAATCTCCGGCTCCAGGGTCTGGAATCATCTCTGGCTCCTGAACTTCCACTCCATCGGACTCCCCAGTGACGTAGTCGCCAGCGGTATCGTCGTCCATGACTTCGTGCGGGCCACCGTGCCTGACACCACGAACTTGCGGATCTCGAAACTGGCCGAGCGTAAGGAATGAGCCCGCGTGAACATTGGAGCCAAGTCCCAAACAAGGTCGACCAGCAAGCGCCGCTCGGACCCGAGTCGACGGCCCCGAGAAGTCTCCATCTCCGTGAAGGTCTCGTAGAGCGCGAAGGGGTCGGAGCCCTCGCCAACTTCTTGGTGCTCCAAAAACTCGGCAACCTCTGGCATAGAGGGAAGAACCACCATGAACCACCTGAACGAATCTTCAGCAAGTAAGAAGCCACCCGCTGCCCAGTCCCATCTTCTTTTGGTGGAAGCACCAGGAAAAGTCCTGGCAGGGGCCCTGTGGGAGACTGGGAATCCCATAGAGCCCGAATGCTCTCTTCGTTCATGCCTCCCGCGAGGCCATTCCCTCCTGGCGCCCAGCAAGAAGGCTTCCGCCTCAGCCCTTGATGGAAATCCGTGGCTCACGGACTGAGGATGCAGATTCGAGTTCGGTGCTCGGACCTGTCGTGCAAACAAGTTGAAATCTTCTGTCCACCCAGCCTGTCCTCCTGGCGCTGGCCTCAGCACCAGATAGATCTTCGTCGGCAATGTCACTGCCGAAGTTGATCCGGGGGCAGCGTAGCCAGTGTCCAACTTCTGTCGCGCTTCAATGCCAGCGCGGAGCGCTCGGCCAAGGCGAGCAAGGGGTGTCCACCCGTTGCTGGTAGTACGAATCCGAGAGAGCAGACGCCGCACTGGGCTAAGGTCCAACTGGAGAACGGCCTCAGGGGTCACTGCACTGATTATGGCGGCCTCCCAATCTTCAGTCCAAGGTGGAGGCGTAGAGGGTCCCACCAAAGACCAGGTTCCGACTGAAGAGCTGCTTTGCCCTGCCTGAGAGGCGGGGTAGGTGGCTCTCAAAGAGCCTGCAAGTGCACCAGAGTGAGCTGGGGCCTCCTGAGCTGCTTCGTGGACGGGTGTTTCTGAGCTTGGCGTGTCCGTGCGCTTTGAGATGCGGATGGTCAAGTCCCCAAGTTGGAAACTTAACTCGTCCACCTCCTCCTCCCTCATGCACTGTCCAGGCGGTATTGGCCCAACCGCCTGCGAAGTGCAGCACTAGCCTGCAAAGGCTCAGGCTGAACCAACAGTGAAGCGCACCCAGCAGCCAGCCAACCAATCCCTTTTCTGCACTGGCTGGACACCAGCAGGAGAGCCCCACAAGCTCCAATCAAACACCCAATCCAACAAAAAACGATGGCCACCAATGCCACAGATGCAGCACCGAATCCTCCGCAAGCAGATGGGGCTGGCCAGATCCACCTGAGCTCGCGAAGGACCTCGAGCACGATGCCGAAGTGCATACGAAGCTCGAGTCGAAAGAGTCTTTGAGCAGTCACTTGCTCTGGAGTTCAGGGATAGAATGCATATACTGGTCCTCTTCCTTGACTAGTTTCATGATCTTCCGCTTTACAAATGAAACTACAGTACATGGTTCCATGGAGCTTCCAAAACCGACTATACCATGTTGTGGATTTATTTGTCGCCTTGAACACCTGCATGGTCTCACTAGGCCGCCTCTTTGGGGCCTAAAAGGGGCAAATCGCCAAATGCTCAAAAGGTTCGACCTTGAGGTGAAAGTGTTGAGACCAGGACGTCAAAAGCGCCCGGGACATCGTGAGCACACCTTACCCCACTTAACGCTGACAAACGAAATGTCGTCAGGTGTTTGAGGACCAAAACACTGTCTATAGGCCATATCTATTGCATCGAACGGATACTGTAAATGGAACCCTTGCACATCAAGAATTTGGCATCATTTGCTGCCACGACACCCAGAGCTCGGGCAAGTGCTGCCCGGTGTCTGTGGCCGCACTGAACTTGGCCTTGAGCTCAGGCGAAAAACAGAAGGAGTTGCTGCTCCAAAGACGGGCTCAAGACTCTTTGCTGAGCGCATCACGTTGAGCTACAACGCTGCGGACTCGAAGGATGTGTCTGTGGGACATGAGATGCCTGCTGCGGCTGCTGAGCCTGGGCGCAAACAAGGGAAGTCATTGTAACGCCAAACTGCGCTGGGTTTGTGACGGTAAATGGCGAGGCCTCTTGGAAGGAGACCTCTGCCACGAGCAACATGCCCAATGTTTCAACCACAACACCAGAAAGGCAAGGCTCAGTATTCCACATCCCCAACCTCATTGGATTGTAGGCAAGGAGCAAGCCTCAAGCAAGGTGGCCAAGCCACAAAACAGCCATGCCTGAAACCTGTGCAAACTTTCCAGCTACATCCAGCTAGGAGAGCCGATGCTTGCCACATGCATGTTATTATATAGAGTTTAGAAGCACCCAAATGAATCAACTGTTTGCGCCTAAACCACCATTGCTGCCAAGAAACCCAGTGTTTGGACAAGCGGAGAATGGCACTTGAGGTGGTGCTAAATTTGTCCTTGGCAAATCCGAGTTATTCGACGCTTATATAATTGCATTTAAACCTGGTGACTGTTGACTGGATATACAATATCTGGGACGAAGTGCTCTGGTCAAAACCATAAGCGTAGCTGACTTCTTTGACTTGTGTGGGAGGGCTGTGCAGACTTCAGTCTGTTCTGGGGGGACAAAAGGCCTTCCTGTTCGCTGAGCTTGTTCTTGTGATCCACCATTTAGTTTGAAGCCAAGATGATCCACAAAGGACTCTGTGATCCGCTCACACCTCGAGGGCCACACGTAGAAAAGCTACGTGGTGGGCTAGGAGGACGGTACATCTGAGTGGCAAAATGCTTGGCCTGAGTACCATGCACGTCTTGGGTGAAACTCAAGCAATTCATGCTGATAGCTATTTGTACAAAATGGAACAGGTTCAAGTCCAAGTAGCTTAGGAGTTGCTTGAAATATCTTCAACCACAAGTTCCTTCCAAAAGCTGCGATACTGTACAGTACGCTTTCAACAGCATGACTTGGCTGCCGACTAATGGTGGGGCTTCAAAGAACTGAGGCGCACCCTCTCGGAGACTGAAAAAATCAACATTCTCTGCAAACGGCATACTGACTTTGGACTTTGCGCCAAACAGACACTCAATTTACTGCGGCTCTTCGGCAGAATATAGAAGGTTTCAACAAATCTTCTAAAACTGCATCCAGACCTCGTGGGCTTGCAGGCAAGGAGTAGACCTCTGCGACACCCTGTTTTGTGAATGAATCTTGAAGCTAGTACAACGAAGCTGTAGCCAGTGATTTCAAGAATGCTCCCAAAAAATAGAGAACACCTCTAAGGTCTGTTGATGTTGTTCAAGAAAAAATATTCAGCCAGCTTGAAATTTTGCATAATAGGCAAAAACTGTTTCTTTAATCATCAATTTGAACAACAGGGTCTTCTGGAAACAGCTGTCCAATCAATCGTGAACACACCTAGAGTCTGATTTGGGATGGGATTCAAGGATTCCTAAATGAGCCATGCTGCATCAGACTGTTTTCTTTAATGCAGGGACCCTCTCCAAGGGAGCACCAGGAACTGGGGCTCCGACGAGCAGGGTCGAAGTCCATTCTTCCGAATCACTGAGCAGGAACATAAAACACTTCACCGGAGCAATGACGACAAAGGCAACTTGCGATCTACGTACAAAAGAAAGAAATATGTATATAGAAAAATATAGAAAAGTACAGGCATGCATGCAACATGCATCTCAAACCCAAGGCCCTGCAGCAGAGGGAAAATTGGATTGGAGTAGCAACGTAGCATCAATCGGTCTGAAAGAAAACCCGCAGCGGCCTCGTGAACGCATTGAAGATACCGAAGAGGGTGCGCTGCTCAGTCCGGCGCTGCTGAGGGAGCGTTTCTCCTTCCGGTAGGATTTGACACAGTCCGATTGCTGGATGATCTTGTCAAGGAGATACACACATGTGCAAACACACTGTCTAAACACCATCCACCCAAAAATTGCAAGGATCTGACTTGGGGCAGATTCCGCTTTTCAAGGCACCTCCACTGCCACAGCCAACGGTCGGCCCCGTTGAACCACAGCAGGCCACGGTTGAGCCATGGGGGCGGGGCCTGGGTCCAACTCGGATGGGTGTGGCCATCGTTTGGTGCCAAATCAGGTGGGACTTGAAAGCGAAAATCTCTGCTGGCCTCGAGCATCCGAAGTGCCCAGAGGGCCCGGAGGGCGGAAACTCGCCCAAGTCGGCTGGCCATAGACAGGACCTTGTTCCAGAAATCAAACCTAAATAAGAATGAAGGCTAAAAACATAGTTGAATACATATATACATATAGTTTTAGATAAGTTCAATATAATGGAGCGGGATCTTTGTTTTTGAGCACGAAACATCACTGTTCACTGCATGTTGCAAACGACTCTGGCCTTTGCCACGCGGGGCAGGGCAGAACATCCGGCGAGCCGCAACGATGTGAATCTGTTGGTTTTGATCACTTCATATTCGGATCCTTTAGGTTCAAAAAAGTGCTCGCAACGTGCACAAAGTACAATCCAAACCTTCACGGGTGTCTGTCTTTGTGAGTCCTGTTTGTTCATGTGTTTTCCCATTCTGAACCGAAAATATGTTGAGTTCAACTGTTGCCAACACACATGCTCTTTATGTGAGTGAGTGTGAATGTTGAAGATTGTGGAAAAACATATTCACAATAATATGTTGGTGATGTTGTCGGAACCACGTTCGTTTCTCAGCACTTCCGTTGTTTTTCTATTTAATAAAACCATGTCTTACCAAGAATAGAACAAGCAAACGTAGTGGGTTAAAACATGTCAATGTGTTTATTAAATGTGGATGTCAGTCAGGAAAAAACTGCTTTGTGACATTGAGGGATGGATGACATTGCACCAAAAATACTAACTTTTGAAAACAAAAACAACAACCGTCCGTAACTGTCCGACCCATTTGGCATGTGGACGGTCGTCTCTCAATTCCATTCCTACAAGTGCTGAAACTATACAGTCTTCACTACGCGCACATCCCCAGCCTCGCACATGCACGACTTTCCGAAGTCAAAACAACGAAAAATCAGAAAAAAAACAAGCCGTTGAACAAGACTTAAGTGCCTGACGCTGGTCAAAAACATGTCCTTTAACGGGCGCGGTTTTATTGGGAATAGTTCCTCCTGTGGAAGTGGAAATTTCCAGCAGAAATCGTCCACGTGGGCATTTTCCAATCAGCCAAACACACATTGGTCAAATGATTTGATCTGACACTTCTCACTTGACTGCGCCATGGTTTGAAAAGCTTCAGATCCCACAGCTCAATGTGAAGGAACAAGAAAGATTGAGTCCAAAACTACAAAGTCGCCAGTTCTCTTCCAGCCCCAGATACTCCGCGCCAAAGTTGTACTACCAAGTCACCAGTTCTCATCTTCCAGCTTCCCAGGTACCTCCGCAGTTGTACTACAAAGTCGCCAGTTCTCATCTTCCAGCTTCCCAGACACCGCGTACCAAAGTTGTACTACCAAGTCGCCAGTTTCATCTTCCAGCCCCCAGATACTCCGCGTACTCTGCATAGTTGGAGATGCGATCAGGCCACCAGTTCCCTGTCCCAGTTTGCTGCCCCCAGTTCCCTGTCCCCTGTCCCCATTTTGCTGCCCCCACGACTTGAGGCTCTACATGCAGTAGTTGGAGAGCCTCGTCTGAGATCCACCTGTAGGCCTTGATCAGCGACTGAGGTTCCACATAGTTGGAGATCAGCTTGTCTGAGATCCACCTGTAGGCCTTGATCAGCGACTTGAGGGGTCACATAGTTGGCGAATAAAATCAGGAAGCATGAAGTGAAAACGACGCCCTCAAAGATACAACATTAAATCATAGGGTCAAGTGAAAACGCCGCGCCCTCAATGATGTCGGCTGCTTTGCAGGAGACGATGTTCTGGCAGCGTTCTGTAACCCAAGCTTTTGTTAATTCATCACTTAACCACCAATGATTTAATGCTGCATCTTTGAGGGCGGCGTTTTCACTTAACCACTAATGATTAAATGCTGCATCTTTGAGGGCGGCGTTTTCACTTCATGCTTTCTGACTTGACTTTGATACCACCAACATTGAGCAGGGTGGCTGCTTTTTTCTCAATGCTTCGTCTGAGATCAGCTCTGTCTGAGATCAGCAGTTTCGTTTCTCTTTTTTCGGAACCTTAAGCTGGGACATTAACATTGAGCAGGGTGGTTGTTTTTTCTCATGCTTCGTCTGAGATCAGCTCTGTCTGAGATCAGCAGTTTCGTTCTTTTTCGGAAGCTTGAGCTGGAACACCAACATTGAGCAGGGGGCAGGGAACTGGGACAGGGAACTTGGGCAGGGAACCGGGGGCAGCAAACTGGAGACAGGGAACTTGGGACAGGGAACTGGGACCTGGGAGCAGGGACTGGGGCAGGGAAGGAGTGCGGTGTGAACTTGTTTGTGGAACACATAGTCTGGAGGCTTTTTTTTGCACGAGTCGAGGCGCTATGTGTGCAGGTTACACAAGTCACCTTTAGCTAGTAAAAGAAAGAGAAGTGAACCGGCCAGCAAACCGAAGCAACCAAACAAGCCCCCAAAACCAAGCAACAGACAAAACAACAAAAAATTCCACCAAACGCTGGCACGGTTCGTATCTCAGGATGGCTGAGTCAGCCTGAAGAGCGGTGAAACAGAATGCGGCCCAGTACGTCATCATCAGGTTCTTGTGCTTCGTTTACATCGAAGTAGAATCACTGCCCTTTGACTGACAAAATCTGCATTCATGATACAAGGGCAATCGAACTGCCCGCCTTGCTTCAGAGGGGCAATGTTGCACAGTCGGAAGGCTGCTAGATCAAAGTTGTTTGACATGAAAGGCATTCAAAAGCAGCATCATTCCGCTATCCTGCTCTCAATGTGAAAAGTAGCGAGCCTCACCCTTACCGGATCCGCACCGGACAAGCAACCTTTTCGCGCCAACGCACACGAACACAAAAGTACGTGTTGCTAGTTTGTGTCTTTAGCTTGCTTTGCACTGTACTGCTTCTAGCTATTCACACTTGAGCCACGTTCCTTCGAACGTAGTGAGTGCTTAAACACTTTCAGGTGGTAGAGGTGGTATCACCCACCTTCCTCTCTTTCTATCTTCACAACCTAGAGGCAGGGAGCAACATACTGGATGCTGCCCCCCCCTTCAGACGGGTGCACACTTTCAACATCAGAGTCAGATCTCTGTGCGTGCACCCTGATGTCATCATCAGGGGGAGGCAACATCTAGGATGTTCCTTCCGATCTACGAGAGTTCTAGCAACACACATATACATCGTTTCTATCCAAAAACGTGCACACACGGATCTATTGGATACTATACATATCTATACACAGACCCTTTATCGTGTGTATTCCCAATCCAGATGGGATCTAATTCTCACTTCGCTAGCACCTCCGATGGTGCATGCTGGTTCTCCACACATGGGAATCGTCCGTAGACGATATTCAGCAGAATCAAAACCCCGCACACCTCCAGTGCTCCTGAGTCATCCTCGAAGCCTCCAAAGCTTCGTTCAGCTCTCATAGCCAGCATCCACCGACCACAGTCGGTGCATCCAAATCTGCCCACACATGCCAGCAGGTGCTAGCACCAATCAACGGTCAACAGCAGGCACTGACCACAGCCAAAGCCAAGGTCACGACGTCCTGTAACCATACTTGAGGCCGAGGGTAGGTGACGAAAGCTAGCAGGGGTGCATCCGGACTGGTGGGACATCAAGCGGAGTGAGGCAAATGCTCATGAGGTAAAACGTTGTGAACATGTAAGACACACAAACAGCAATGACACAGCCAACCTTAGAATTGAAGTCCCCGATAATTAAGGAAGCGTGGCTGGACTTTGCCACACTGTTCGATGCATCCGATGTGTTCATGAACCTGTGAGCTTGTTGAATCTGTTGCACCGTATCCCAAAACCTCCACGGAGGAGTTGAACCAGTGTGGATGCCATAAGAGGTGCCCAAGAGGTGTCCCAGAGGCAAAACAAGCTGCTTGCATGATTTGTTTGGTTTCTTCTATCGATGTCGATGTCATGAACATGTGAGCTTGTTGAATCTGTTGCACCGTATCCCGGAGGAGTTAAGCCAAAGTGGATGCCATAAGAGATGCCCGAGAGGTGTCCCAGAGGCGTCCGAGGGGGGAGTTGAACCCACGGGGGGGGGGGGGGGCCCTACATATGAAGTTTTCACGTGATGCGGCGATCCCGAGGATTCCAGCCCCTCACTTGCTAAAGCAAGGACAACTCCAGCTAGCTGGTGCTAGCTTTCGTGATTTTCACACCCCCTTTCGGCGTGATCCTGCAGCTTTCCAAATGAACTCCACTTCAAAGGTTCAAACATGGAAGTTCACCTTCACAAATTCCTTGAAAAAAACTGTGTTTCAGACTGCAACCTCGTTGCGCAATGAAGAACCAGTTACAGACTGCAACTCATAGCTGCTATGCCACAAAAGTCGAATTCTTTGGAAAACCAGTCGAAGACTGCTATTCGTTGTGCTTTGAAAAACGTGTCGCTACAGACTGCCACTTCGTAGTGCTTGAAATCAAATCCAGCCGCAGACTGCAACAAAATCGTGTGTGTGTGTGTCTTTGAGGTCACTGCATCATTCTCACATGTCATATTCATGACTTGTACTTTCGCTGCAACTTGCCAGTGCCCATGATTTCATCGGCTTTGCGGTACCTCAGGTACATTGCAAAATCCTCAGCACGAGTCCTCGGAGCATCGGTCACTGTCTTTCCATGAGTCTCCATGACCCATCGACAGTACTTGGTAATGTCGGCATCCTCTTCAACCACAAGGTCAAAGATCTCCTCATAGCTCAAATTGCGACTCTTCAGAGCCGGCAACTGCATCAAAGTGCAACCCCATTGACGACCATCCTTCACCTCTCTAGGGACAGGGATCTTGAGATTCACATCTCCCTTTCCGAAATCCACTATTTCTGATTCTTTCACAAGTGTCGAGTGGCCAGCTCCACTCACAAAGGGTGGTTCAAGAATCTCGAACTCATCCGGAGCAACCAAGCGGCGCTTGGAAGAATCTGACATAGAACTCTGACTGCGTTCCACCTTTCCAGATGGCATAGGTCCCTGAAGCAGCACCTCAGGAGCACATCCAGAACGCTGTGCTTTTGCCAGAAGCTCTGTCAACTTTGCCATTTCCGACTCTGACATCTTCTCAGACGCCATGGCTCACACACAGTCTAGGCTCCTAAGGTGCAACTGAAGTTGCCTACTGCACGAGGCGCTAGTCAGGCCAAAAGTCCAACACAAACCCGTTCGGGTTCAGCACAACCACAGTCCACACGGAAGGACGCTCACCCCACACTCTCAGAGTGCAAGCAAACAACCTCCACCTGCACATCCCTCCTTTTAAAGGATGAACCTGCAAGCGTTTTTTTTCCACGAGTACGGACGCCGTGTGGGCATGGTGCCCAGGTCATCATTGAAGGAAGGGAAATACAATCAGATGGTGGAGAAAAGGACAAAGACAACCCAACAACAAACCAAACAAAACCAACCGCAGCCCACAGGCCGAGACTCCACCACCAAGTAGTATTTCCTCTGTACTAGGGTGAAACAAGTGAGACGAAGACTGCTGACTATCTATGGGCCTGAATTCACGAAAGAAGAGCATGGCAGCGAGGGTTTGTGCTCAAGCAAAATCTCAAAGAAGTCGTCAAATGGACTTCACATCACTATTACCAGTGACCAGCGGCCACTGTACAGGGTGGCAAAAACATGGTCACAATGCAAGTCCCGGGCATTGGTACGCTCTAACGCAGGTCTGATCCTTGCCTAAGTGGATCAGTGATTGCTACGCAGATCATGCCGTGGAAAAGTCCTTTCTTGTAGCACAACCCATGCAACTGATTGCACATACTATAGTAGTTGGTGGTGTTCAGGCAGTGGCGGCCATAGCAAACAACGAAAGCCTGCGGGTAAGGGTGCGAAGGGCTCACCCCCCCAAAGGGAGGTCATCTCAGCACCCTTCGGCACACAAAGGTGCCAAAAGGGGTGTGCCCTAAACTTGAGAACTGCTGCGTCATTGCAAAAGCATTGTCCTGTTGCGTGCAAGGCCCGTGTGAAACAGGTGAGACCGTGGACCTATCCTAGCGTGGTATATGTGCCTCTTTGTACAAAATTGGTAATGTCGGACGTCAACAGAGGGAACTAAGGTTCCCCCTGGGCATCCTCCATTGCCACTCTCTACCACCCGCCTGTTGGGAACGAGGAGCTAAGGCTCTCATTCCTATTGGCTCACTGTATCGTGAATGTCGAAAGCAAGTTGGCGACTCTACTCAATGTTTGCACATTTCACTTGACGTAGCTTCCTGGCGGAGTGCTTATGCACCGTTCCCGCCGCGAAAGCATTGCTGGCCTTTGGTGCATGTTCTAGAAAGTCTTCTCTCCACCAATCATTGGCATCGGCCGGCAAAAATCGGAGCCATTTAGGCTGATCGTGTTGCTCACATTTGTCAAGGGCATTGAGCCGTGCCCACCCTCGTGGAGGATCGACACTCCTTGAATACTTTAGCGCCGAAATGCTTGCAACCGGGGGCAACCACCCCTCGTAGAATTTGGCACCAGCTAAAGGCGCCATGCAATGGGCTGACGACTGTGTCTGGCAAGTGACGATTTGCAACTGTCGACAGCTTCTCCACGCAGCCTCTCCAACAATCTTGACACTGCTCTCAACGAGTGCGTGACGGATTTTTGTGCAAAAGGAAAAGGCTGGTGGGGAAATTTTGTCATTTCTACCTCACGGCAACCGGATTGCCTTGACTTCCCCTTAGGACATGGAGGCTTAGAGGAAAACTGTTTCGGTCCGACAGCCACGGTTTCTAATCACCCCCCTGTTTCACGGAAGGCAACCATAGTTAGTTATGTAAGGTGGAAAGTACTTTGATGTGACTTCTGGCCTACTCTAGTCTCGAGCTAAGGCGCGCGCCCAGACTCTTAATGGGTGACGGTGAGACCGCGATAGCTGTGGTCAGAGGGACTTGTCTTCATCCCAGACCAGGGGTATATCCCATGTCCGGGATCATATGCAGCCAGGGTGGCCATCTCATCCGGACAAATGGCAAAAGCATTTTCTTCGGCGTAAACTCCTCGCCATTTGCGTCTTCCCGGCATCTTGGCGAGCCTCTTAAGGGCAGTGCAATCCAAGAAAGCCCTACTTCCAATATATTTTAGCGAGGGCGGGATGGCCAGCTCAATAAGGGCTGCACAGTTCACAAAAAGGCTTTAACTCGAATTGTATGGAGAGTAGGCGGAAGGAGAACTTCTCTGAGGCTAGTGCAGTGTACAAAGGTGAATTCCGGAATTTCTTCAACGTTGGTGTTGAAGAGGTCAACCCTCTTGAGCAGTCGGCAACTGTCACACGCATGCGCTCCAATAGTTGTAAAATCCTTCGTGAGAGCAAGTGTGGTGATTCCCGTAGAGCTAAGACAGCCTGGCGCCAGCTCACTGGTCACGTCCTGCAGTGTTGGCCCACGGGGGGATGGAAGCTCACACAAGGTAAACTCAGCTAGGTTGATGCATCCTTGAAAGAGGTAATGCCCGAGTTTGGTTTTGCTGCTGAACCAATTTGCAGCCCCTTCCGATGCATACACCCATTGTAAGGAGCAACATTCCGCAAAGGCTTTGTATCCAAATTCCCGGCAACCAGGAGCCGAGACACTGTTTAGTAGTTTGCAGTAGCGAAAGACGTTATCGGAAATGCCTACCACAGTGGCCGGCAGTTTGACAATGCGAAGCTGCCGGCAATTTTGCCATGCCTCTGCTCCAATGAGCCTGATACCTGACTCAACGCTGACATGTCGCAGACGCGGAACACCTGCAAAAGCCCCTTCCGAGACGATTGCCTCTGGATTCATGGGGACATGAACAGCAAGCGGAACATGATAGATAGGGCAGCCTTCAAGTTGTTCTTGTGATGGCAGGATTACACAGCTATCCCTGAAGACAATAGTGTATTCCATGCTTTGCTGTAGCTTGTCCCAGATTGGGTCCTCTAGGTATGTCTGCGTGGCAGTTTGCAGAAAATCGATGGAGCACCCAAACACTTTAAGGTCAGTTACTGAGACAAGATAGTCCATAACCTGGTCCTCTAGGTCCTCAAATCGATCAAATTTTGCTACACTGAGAGAGACCTTGATAGTAACCCCCGAGAGCGTTGTCAGCACTAAGGAGCAGTCCATGACCGGCTCCGTTTCAGGGGGGGTACTAAGACTGGATGAGTCGGCAAGCTCCATGTCTGGCAGGCTACTTTCGTTTGCTGTTTGAGCCAAAAGCTTCTCACTCTGCTCATTGACTGCTACCAGAGCCGGGGATGTTTCTAGAGACAGATGCTAAGGCACCCACCATGACCCACGTATGGACTGGCCCGATGTTAGGAAAGTTCATTATACAGCTCTTCGTCAAAGGCATCCGAATCGGGTCCTTCAGCGGGGAGCAGCTCCACCCACAGTGGTCTTTCAAATTTGTCACACATAAGGAAAGCATTGCGCTCCGCCTGCACAGACTGTTCTATATCCCCCCAATCTAGGGGCGTGAAGCGTTGCAGTTGCTCACACCCACAGAAAGCACGGATGCCTATGTCACAGAGCTCTGTCGGGATGACCACTTCTTGGAGCGCAACACAATTAAGGAAAACTTCTTTGCCAATTTGCGTTAGTCGCGGCGGAAGCCATATGCAATTCAGAGCCACGCAGTGGGCAAAGGTGGAGTGGAGCAGGGCTGTTATTTCTGTGCTCATGAGGTTGACCTCCACTAGTCCTTTGCAATTTTCACAGGCCCGCGGCCCGATATTGTGAAAGTCACCTGGCAGACAGAGCTGTTCAATGCCTGCTCCACAGAATGCGCCTTCAGGCAGCGCTCGAGGTTTATTGGTGTGGTCCATGTCAAAGGTGATGGATGTAAGTGTGAGACAACTCTCAAATGCATATCTGCCTAGTTGTGCCCCTGGTGCAAGGACATTATTGTCATCAGTTTCTTGACTGACACCAACTCGACCACGGGAGCAGCACTCCGCAAACACTCTTCGGCTGTACTGGACACATCCCGGGGCGGCCACTTCTCGCAGCACGTAGCACCCCTGGAAGGTCCCCTCTTCAAGACTTATGACAGAGGGTGGGAGCTTGACAATTTGCAGTTGCTGACAACTCTGCCAGGCCGCGAATCCTACATGTTGAATGCCCATTGCCACTTCTACGTGCCGGAGCACGGGTGCTGCATAGAAGGCTCTGTCAGCAATTTCTCCGCGCGGGTTGGCCGGGACGCGTATAGCCTTGGGGTAGCTTTCTCTACCGTCTGCCTGGAACTGCCAGATGGAGTGTCCATCTACCATGCAGGGACGTACTACAATTTGTAGTGTCGGCCGTTGTAGGAGCACCGTGTGGAATGCTTCTGGCAGGGGTTGCTGCGTGTGCAGGTCAAGTAGGTCCAGCTCACAGCCAAAGACATCCAAATCAGAGACCGTTGGCAGAAAGCAGAGGATATCATCTTCCAGCTCTGCCGCGTCCTCATACTGAGCGAGGTTTGTTTGCATAGCATATTCCGTGCCTGCTATCGTCGCCAAATCGATGCTGACATCATATCGATCTTGGTCAAGCGGCATTGTCGCTGTGGGCGGCAGTCCGAACGTTCTTGCTTAAGTTGCTTGGGCCAGACAATTGAGGTAGCGAACATGCAGTCATTTCGAAAACAAACAAACTAAAAACTCAGACAACAAGAAGTAGGGTGGCTAAGGCCACCCTTCTCGTGAAAGCGTCCAAGTCACTAGGAGGTGATAATTGTGTGCGGAGGCTCCTACTAGAGACCGCCCTACTGCCACCACCCATAAGGCGGGGGCGGTGGGGGAGGCCTGATGTGACAGGTAGACAACGGGCAGACGAGGAGCTTGCCTCTCCTGGAGGAGGGGCGGTACGGCGAGCTTTAGGACGCGGATCAGAGTCTTCCTGACTGTAGCCCATTTGGTCCCTAAGTGCCTGCTTGTAGCCTGCAAGTTGCTTTCTAAACGAGGGGTTTCCAGTGAGCCATGCGCAGAGCTGGTCCCAACGGTCTTCTGTGTAGAGGCACTGGCCATATTGGTTATACGGGCGATCTTCCATTTTTGGACTGAGGGGATATCCATTACAGTAGTAGTTACTGAGGAGAGTGCTGGGAATTTTGGTCAGCGTATAGCG